TCCCAGCTACTTGGGAGGCTGAGGCAAGAGACTCGCTTGGGGTGGCACCAGTAGCTCAAAGGAGTAGGGCGCTTGCCCCATATACCAGAGGTGGTGGTTTGAAACCTGGCCCCAGCCCAAAACCAAAACCAAAAAAAAAAAGAGAGACTCGCTTGAGCCCAGGAGTTGGAGGTTGCTGTGAGCTGTGATGTGATAGCACTCTACCCAGGAGGATAGCTTCAGGCTCTGTCTCAAAAAATAAAAATAAAAATAAAATAAACTGGCTCAGCGCCCATAGCTTAACAGGTAGGGTGCAGCCACGTGGGCCAGGGCTGGTGGGTTTGAAACTGACCTAGGCCTGCTAAACAGCAATGACAACAACAAGAAAACAGCCAGGCGTTGTGGTGGGTGCCTGTAGCCCCGGCAACCCTTGGGAGGCTGAGGTAAGAGAATAGCTTAATCCCAAGAGTTTGAGGTTGCTGTGAGCTGTGATGCCATAGCACTCTACTGAGGTTGACATAGTGAGACATTGTTTAAAAATAAATAAATAAATACATAAATAAACAACCTATACTGAGGGTGACATAGTGAGACACTGTCTAAAAATAAACAAACAAACAAACAAACTGTGGTGTGCATATAGCATGGACTACTGCCACAAAGAAAGATGAGGACTTTACATCTTTTGTATTAACCTGGATGGAGATGAAATACATTCTTCTTAGCAAAGGATCACAAGAATGGAAGAGCAAATATGCAATGTACTCAATACTAATATGAAACCAGTAGATGATCTAACACATGACCACACAAGAGAAAAATAATAAACATATTGGGCACGGTGGCTCACGCCTATAATCCTAGCACTCTGGGAGGCCGAGGTGGGTGGACAGCTTGAGCTTACCGGTGCCAGACCAGCCTGAGCAAAAGGTGAGCCCCCCCCTACTAAAAAATTAGAACAACTAAGGCAAGAGAGGATCATTTGGGCCCAAGAGATGGAAGTTGCTGTGAGCTATGACACCACAGCACTCTACCCAGGATGACAGTGTGAGACTTGTCTCAAAAATAATAATAATCATAAAATCAGAAATCAATAAAATAATAGAAAAATTCAAATCAATTCAAGTTGGAGGGAGCAGGAAAGAGAGGGGGGAGTGGTGTGCTCCCATTTAATGGGCACAATGTTAAGGGTAAATGGCATACCTCTTGGGTGCTGGACATAACTACAATAGGGACTATGTAACAAATATAAATGTTGTAACCTAATTGCACCCTCACATTACTCTGAAATAAAAAAAAATTTAATTAAAAAAAACCATATTCAATTCCTAATAAGGTCATTATCTTCTTCATGTGAAGATAATTTTAGCATGTTAACTTAATTACATTAGGGAAATTATGAGAACATTAGAAACAATATAGTGAAATAAAGTCAAACCAGAGTTCAATTTCAGTCTCACTGCTCTATTTGCCATTGCACAAAATGAGAATACAAAAAAAAAAAAACCACATCAATGTCAACAAAAATCCCAAAAAGAAGTCAAGAAGGTCCCAAGGTGTAACTGACATTTTCTTCTTTTAAAGATAGATGTTTTTTGTATTTCTCGGATAATTTACATTTGTATTAAGCCATGAATTAATACAAATTAATTTTATCTGAAGAATAATATATAATTGCATCATATAAGCTTATTGTAACCTCTAAATGCCAGTGATTCTCACACCACAACCACTAGAGTAGCAGGGACTACAAGTACCCACCACCACACCCAGCTAATTTGGGGGGCATGGGAGGGTAGAGAAGTGTCAGTTATGTTGTTCAGGCTAGCCTTGAAATCCTGGCTTCAAGCAATCCTCCCTCATTCACCCAAGTGCTAGGATTACAGGTGTGAACCACTGTACCCAGCCTCTTTAATTCATAAATTTAAAAAAAAAAAAAAACCCAAGAAGCAATAAACAGCAAAGTCCCTAAGGTCATTAAACATGTAAAATCATGTTTCTTCTTTCAAATTCCAAGAAGCCCCTGTCAGGATAAATGGAAACACAGACGAGAGACAGGAAAAAAGATAACAAATGTCAATATCTGGGTTACTTTATACAATTTTTTTAGTATCAGTTCTAGTAATCCCTTTATACTCTTTCCTTCCCAAAATCTTATCAAACTCTTTCTCAGGTACAAACTTCTGTTCTAGAATTAGAGAGTTAAACAGAAAATTAATATAAAATATGCATTGGGCTATTTACCCTTTTTTTTCTTTATTAAATTTGAATTTTTTTTTTTTTTGAGAGTGCCCTAACATCACAGCTCACAGCAACCTCCACCTCCTGGGCTTAGGCGATTCTCTTGCCTCACACTAACAAGTAGCTGGGACTACAGGTGCTTGCCACAATGCCCAGCTATCCTTTGTTGCCGTTTGGCTGGGGGCTGGGTTCAAAGCTGCCACCCTCAGTATATGGGGCCAGTGCCCTACACACTGAGCAACAGGTACTGTCCACCAACCTCAAACTCTTGGACTCTAGCGAACTTCTTGCCTCAGCCTCCCGAGTAGCTGGGACTACAGGCGTCAACATGTAGCTATTTTTGTAGAGACAGGATCTCACTCTTGCTCAGGCTGGTCTCGAACTCCTGAGCTCAGGAAATCCACCTGCCTTGGCCTCCCAGAGTGCTATAATCATCTAGTTTATAATCAATCAATCTATAAGAATTTATAGATTGATACTACCCAGAAGCTAGTGTCGTATATTCAAAAATGTCCGCGAAATAGATGATCATAAAACAAAGAGTTCATCGAGTCAGAAGGAGAAAAGGTTGAGCTTAAACCTAAAGGAGCAACTTATTCAGGTTAATTTCAACTGTGACCCAAAATATAGACTCTCTCCTTTTAATGAAAATATTGTAATGAATCAGAAATAGTTCACAAATCAGTGCAAAACTACCAGTTGGCTATCAGGATAAATGAAACACAGACAAGCTTTAAAAAAAAAAAAAAAAACAAGAATCCAGCTAGCTCTACTCTTTGCTGCTCTCCTCTCATGTTAAGTACAATGGCTGTAACTAGAAATCAGAAATAGTTCACAAATCAGTGCAAAACTACCAGTTGGCTATCAGGATAAATGAAACACAGACAAACAACAGCAAAAAAAAAAAAAAACAAGAATCCAGCATTTATTCTCATTTCAAATTTTAACTATTGACAACTTTAACAAAAATAGATTGGGTTCATGAATGAAATCTTGAACGATAACATTTCTGTTAAGATTCTTGAATTTTTTTTCCTTGCCAAGGTACGAAATGATGAA